CCTTTGTTGTTTGCTTACCATTTTATTTCATAATTATTTACTTTTTCCAAGGAGCCTTTCCAAGTTGCAGTTGTTTGCTCTTCCTTTGCTCATTTTCTAATGCGGAGGTTTTTTTTTCACTTTAAATTTTTGTTTTACCGTTCACACGGGTTACGGGAAATTTAGATTTTCCGTCGAGATTCTCAATTAGTTCCTTGCCCTCAGTTCAGAAAAATAGTCTTTCTGAAATGCGTTTTTGATATTTACAGTGCGTTGCTCCTTTACCTGTAAAGATGGGGCGAGATTTTGGAATTTTTAGATCAATGACTTTTGCCATGTGGTTTTTGTTTAGAAAAGTTATCTGTATTGTAATTAAGGTTGTTTGGGAGAATTGTGAAGTGAGTGTTGTCCGTTGAAATACAGATCTTAGACGGGATTTCGCAATATTGTAAGATTAGGTGGAGGTCCCTTGCCACACCACTCCAAAGGTATTATATGATTTGTTCTCTCATGTCCTGGCGCAGGGTTTTCTCACTAATTTAGTTGATAATACCTTTAAAAGCGTATGATTGCTCAGTTTATAGGGTTTGGTGGCGGCGGACTTCACTGCTCAATTTCTCCATGAGAAGCTTTCATAGGGTTGAGTAGGGTATGGGAGCTGGTCGGGCGAAGTATTAGCGGCCGTTTCGGACGTGCGATGCTGTAGTAATACGAGTTTTAGCGACTTTGAGTTTGTTGAAGGATGTGCTATGAAATTTGGGAGGAATTGTATTGCTGACGAGAAATTTTTTGGTTAGATGGTGAAGATGCAAGGGAGGTATCAGGTTTTGAAGACGGGTGATTTTTACCTAGTTGGGATTTTAAAAGATTGGTGCCATGTTAGTATCGGGGTTTCCAGCTAGGGCGGTTGTTCTGTGCAGAGGGAACTACGGGAAATTAAAGGCTGGATCTCTTGAAGGGGGAAAGGGTGAGACGAACATTCAGATTATACAGTATAGAGCTTAAGTAGTGCGACTATGTCACTATGTCACGTTTATCTTTTCATTTCTCGTAGTGTTCTGCCTGTATCTTCAGCCATTGTTGTGAAGGGCGGATGACCTCAAGCATGGTACGAAGTCTATTTTGTGAAATGTTTTATGCGTAAAATAAAATATGCGGCATGAAATTGTTCCGTCTTCTCAGCAAACTTTTGGCATTGCTTCTGGTCAGTCTCCCTTGATTCCCAAAGTCCTTCAGCCTTGAGTTTTGGTATACCTGTTTGCAATTACAGTTTTCTCGGCTCTACTGCAGATAAGAGTGCTCACCTAGAAAATATTTTTTCGTTGTCACCCTTCACTTATATACTGGGTTTTGACATTGCTTAATTCATCTGCGGTAGTTTCAGGATTGTCTGTCTAGTTCTTGCTAACTTTCTGATAGCCTGACGCTAAAGTGACGCTGTAACCCTTTTATCGTTTCATAGGGTAGTTTTTATTTGGCGGATAGTGTGGTGATTAACGCGTGCGTTTTGCAACCTCACTTCCATGAATATGGAGGAGGTCCAAATCTACACTCCTGCACTTCCCCCGCTAACATCTCCAGGTTTCATGACCATTTCCTGGCTTGCTCAAAAGATGTATTTAATCACGATGTAACCGCATGCTTCAGATTTGGCAAATGGCACTAAGCGAATTGTTGCTCTAGAGGCGTCTAATTCTGCCTTTACTATTTTTAAAAACCTCTATAGCTGCTTCCTAATTTAAAGAAATAGTCAGAACATGGGAAATTTAATCTCAATGAAAAATTTTCAATAAAAATGAACAGGAACGACTATAAGTTATGAAAGATGCAGTATAATTCTCAAAAAGAAAATAAAAGAAGACGGGAAATAGGATAAAAGTGCGAGACAGGGTGGAGCTATCAGGATTCTGTAACTCAGTTATTTTCCTTTTTGTCGCTTTGAGAAGCAGCTGAAGAGGTTTATTAAATTGTAAAACCAGATTTAGCCACTCTTAGAGCATCGACTTATTCAGTGCAATTTGTCCAATTATAAACAGTGCGAAAATTAGCAAGAGCTAGATACACAAGTCTTAAAGTTTTGCAGGTGAATTAGGTGGTGTCAAGCACAACCGCATGTACAAAATTGAAATTTCACAGACCAAAAAAGTGTGTTTGGGGATGCCAGGGTGCCACGCTTATCTGCAATAGCTCCGTTTCTAGTCCATTATTTCGTTTCGATTTGTTTCTCTATTTCCACTCATTTATTTTTTAGTGTATTTATTTGGTGAAATAAAGCTGAAGTATCAGAGCTGCTAATTAATCTTTATTTTTCAAGTCAGTAATACGCAAAACAAACCTCGTGCGTCTCCGTCATGCCGAAGTGGAAGCTACTGCTTCTTAATAATATTCTTCTTAGTTTTTCTTTTTGTTGAAACAAGTTCTTGCTCTCTTTTTAGACCACATAAATTTTAATGCTTTAGTGTACTTGTTGGCTAAGCTCTGTTTAGCGCTTGGAAATTATCGTCTACTGTACCTGCCCTTACGTTCTAGTATGTATAGATAGCTGGAGTTATCCAAGAACTAAAAGTTAAATTGCAAAGACGGGTGATGGAGCAGCTATGACTTCAGAATCAAAGCACAATAGGGTACGACAATCGTCGTTTGGTATCTGCATAATAGCTTAAATAAATGCGGCGTTGTAGAATCAGATTTTATCGAAAAGTGATTATTTGCGACCATCATGGCTAAAATCGTTTGAAGTCCGCTTAAGCAGAGAGGAATTTGCAAACCGCGTTTAGCTTGAGTCCCGTTCCTTTAAGTCGTCTAAATATTCGTCCAGTGACACTATCTTATTAAAAACTAGGCTTTAACAATACTAAGCTACCATTCCGAGCGCCATTACACGTCAGAAACTCATCTTTCTTTGTCAGAAACGCGAGTAGGTAGCTCTGATTGTTATGACTTTGTGTGTTACAGTGAAGAAAGTAAGTTGTGCAATCATCTTTCATCTTTTTTATGTCCAGAATCTGTACCAGAATTTTTCTGTTAAGAAAAACGCTTCATTTGGTGTCTGGTCAGCAGTTCTGGACGCTATCCTTTTTGTCGCCAATTACCCGATGACGCGGGTTGAAGTTCAGCCACCTACTGCTTGGCTCCATTTGTTCACTTCTATCCGCATAAGCTTCCTTAATATGTGAAACACATCTCCTCGAGGAGGTGTGCTTTATGTAAAGAAAAGTATATAGACGTTCTAACGCAACTGTGTCAATTTGTACGATTATTGCCAGAAATGGCAGTTCTTAGGTATAAGAGCGATCTTATTGCATCGCTTAACTGGAGAAAGCGACATCCTTGGCCAGGAAGCAGTCTGGTGAGATTTTAGTTTTTTTAATCTCCGGACGTTTTTAACGAACAGCGAAATTTGTTTTATTCTCGAACTAGTAAAATCTTGATGGGGCAATTCATGGGAAATACAGAATACAGCAATACTGCTTCCGTCTCCGTATGTTCAGAAATTTTGGACATAAAATGACCAGGCGTTTATTATCACACTCGTAAAGTTACCTGTCGCAGCATCATTAGCCTAGATTAACTGCACTTATTAACTGAGCCGTACATTTTTGCTTTGACAGCTTTCATCTTAATCACTAACTGTTAATATTCATTTCCCCAAAAAGTACCAAAGAGTGAGCAGGTGTTCTCTTCAGCAAACAAACCCTAAACATTAAATGGAATTCTCAAATCTGATTAGATACAGGAGATACCGCTTCCAACTATTTCATGAACACGTGAGGATACACTTATAACGACGATGTGATTTTACTGCGCAAAAGTCCGACGTTTCTCGACAAAGCTCTAATAACCCACTTTATTCAGTCTTTCGTCATGAACTCACAAAGTACTTTTTGGTGATATACTTCATGGGTCTGCTTTTTATCCCTTCACTTTATCGTCGCTACTCGGTACCTGGATACTGTTACAAAAACCTCGGTGATTTTTTCAAACGACTTTTTCCCAGCCTTAATTTAATTTTTCCGGACTACCAAAAAGGTATCCAAAAATGTTACTGCGAAACAACTGTGGGGTCAGTGGTTGCACTGCTACAAACTGTATACGAAGATAAATGAAGAAGAGAGGAAAATCCTCAAATGTTCTAAATTAGTCTTCTGTGAAATTATTACTGCTGTACCACAACAATAAAAGAGGCCCTAAGTTCTTTTTAACAGGTGATTGGAATATATATTTGTAAGCAGTTATTGCGTGAACACCTGTGGTAGTTTTTATAGTTTTCTTTTAGGGCTAATTCTGTTTGCTTCTCTACTCTACTACCTTTCTAAATGCTTTGCTGAACGACTAATCGCACGAAACGCACGAACACATCACAAAAAAAAAATCCAAGTCGAGATAGGAATCTTGAACCAGCTCGCTGACTGCTTGCTCACGCGCCAGAGACTTGCACTTTAAATTATTTCATCTCCTCCTATGAGGAGATCAGCAAACATATATGCTGTATATCTACTAATAATTTATTCTAAACAACTGCAACTTTACATTATTTCTAATCGAAAAGAAATTTCACGTAACGACTTAGTATATATTGAAACATTGGGTAAGCTCAGGACTGCTTCTTTTAAACAGGCTTTCCAGATCAGTTCTGTTCTGTTCGTTCACCCTTGCTCTTTTCAAAATCAGTTTTTCTTCGATAGAGAAACCCGTGAAAGACAGATTTCATTTGCTCACTGTCCTTTGCCGTGGGCAGCCTTTCTTCAGGCTTGACTTTGTCAACCAGCAGCGGCAGTGTACGGTCGCGTAAGACCTAAACCACTTTTTCAAGTAGGAGTTCTGCTGCTTGTTTATCAGAATTTAAAGACAAAGGAGTGTCAATGGAGGCTCAGGGAGGAGGCCCTCGAAGTTAAACATCAGTAGAAAATTAAGCTGACCGTGAAGTAAAAGAGAGCGTAAAGTACGGCTATATTGATTCCGTCAACTGCACCTTGGAACCTTTTCCAGTACCAACCAACGAAACCAAGACAAAATGACAAACGATCCTGTAACGATTTCTGATTAGCAACAAGTACGACTGAGAGCTTCGTATTTAAAAAGCAACCTATAAAATAAAATTTAATTATTTGAAACCTCCACAGATTACAGTTTTACCGCTCACCGTAACTAAATTTCTTTCGCTGCAGCGGATCCGGTAGCACAACTCTTTTACTTCATCACTGGTACGATTGGTGACACAAAGCAGGGCGACGACAGGCCCCAATAAAAGTCCTCCTAGCAAAAATCGCCCCTAAGTTGGAAAGATTTAACAACAAACCCAAAACTGCGAGCTAAATAAAAGTTAATATATTTTTAAATCCCGTTCGATACTTGCCGATGTAATCGCAGTACCGAACTTTTTAAAATATCTTCAAAAGTTTCGGTCGTAAGCGAAAAATGTACTGCCAACTCTAGCCAAAATATTTTTTCCTAAAGGCACTGCGATGTAAAAAATAACTTTATGATAAAAACGTTTACCTATTAAACATACCAGTTTCAGTCATGAACAGCTCCTATGTCACCAAGATTTCAACCTTCATAATTGACAGTAGAGCCAAATGTTACACTCACGTTCATGAACATCAAGCAAATATTTTTATTTTGTTGATTATACATGAGATGTTGCTATTAGCCTGACACTAGGCCTGACAGTAGTACAGAAAAACATTGCCTTCTGAGACCTATACGGCAGTTCTATATGGAGACATTTAAGTAACGTAAAAACTTTACCTGTAAACGTCTACATGTGCTTCGAATAATTTTGAATGAATTGTTAGTAGTTGTTTCTGGTGTCAAACGACTTTTTAAGTAAGCTCGGTAAATTGGATGAACAACACACCCACCTAAACAGGTTCTCACTGAAATTTAAAAAAATAAACTGCTTGTGCTTATCGTTCTTGAGCGCTCCAGGTCCGAAAAAAATAACCTATAACAGACGCAAGCTCCCCTCCTTTGAATGCACCAAAAATTGCCAGTTCTGTATACGGTCGAGGAACGGTAGCGAGAATTTGCGGTGTCAAACGATGACCAAAAATCTGAGTGAAGTTCGAAAACCACTCCTCCAGACCAATCGTCATAACCACCTGACCATTCAATCACTGGTATTTAAGCAAGTGAATCTGCAATTTCATAGAACGCTCTAATTTGTACGAGTCATTGTGCAATTTTCTTATTGCTTTGTAAAATCTGCAGCTACCAACACCACTTCTCCAATACTACTTCATAAACAAAAAACATAACGAAGTCGGAACATAGAATTAATACAACAGATTAAGTGTGAATATACGCGCTGAAAGGAACTTTTCATTGCTAGTGAAATCCAGTCGCCATAACAATCAAGCCCTTCCAAAATCGTTTCTTTGGTCCGACAGCAGTCTAAATGGTACACTCGCTCTTATCCTAGAAATGACGCCGTATGCCTCAACCTGCATCGCCAAAGAATGTTAACCACACTTTCCAATTAGCTCGCTAAAGAATTTAAAGGACTTCCTTCTCGCCGCCACTTCCATAAATTCCCCACCCATCCCCCGAAATAGTTTGGATCTCACTGCCATACCCGTGAAATTCTTCTCAAGCACTCAGAGAGCCTCACGTCAGACCAATCAACGGCTTCAGAAGTTGTGACGACTCGAAATTAAAAATGAACGCTAAACCCCGAACTCGTCACAACATTAACATAAGACACTGGTGCAAGAACCTTTGAAAAATGATAGAGGCTAATCAAACTCAAGACATCATAGGATGCAGCGGACACACAGTAATTTTACATTACCAGGAACAAAACAACTGGAATATAAATTTAAAATTACCATTACCTTCTCCAAAAAATGTTCAAAATCTTCAAACCTTTCATAAAAATAAAATTGAAGTGTTATATAAACAAACTTCAGTCTGCCATCCAAATAACCCGTAAATTTCATAAACGATCAAAGGACGAAGTATACTGTTTCGAATTGAAGTAAAGATAAGTTCTGGATGTACAACTCTATGGAAACAGCTGTGCCTTTGATGAAGATAACAGCTGGTTAAAAAACAACAAGATATGCCATAATAAATTCATCTCGATGAATCTTAGCAGAATGAAAAAAAATTCCCGAGTAAAAATTGTCGTAAAGCACACACAACAAAGGAAATTATATTAAGCATTTAAACTTAAATAAATTCAATGTCAAAAAAATTATACTTAAAATATGCTAATTTCATATGGTTCTAAAACAATTAGCGCATAAACGACCTCGAACCTAATTACTACAAATGTAGAAGACTATGTCAAAAATACGGTTCGTAACAACATATATAAACAAAAATGAACAACAATTTGCTCTCAAAGATCAAGGGCTTTCCGCAACCTCATCTGTTCACGTTTAGACAAAAACCTGCAGTTACGCTGTTTCGATTTCTTGATTCCATTAAGACGACGGTCTTCTGCTGCAGCCAATTCCTAAAATTCGTTCAAGATAAACAGAAAGAAAATGAGCATTACACTGACACTCAATTAATTTACTGATTACCATTTTATACTTCTTTTGGCGCTCTTCAGCAGCTATTCGTTCCTGATTGACTCTTTCTTCATTTATTTTGCCCAACATCGACATCAAACGAACAATCTTGAACGAAAGAAAATTATTTTTCTAAAATCACAAATCTTTCATCGTTTTCTATGTCACCTTATTCCACTGTACCCGATGAGAAACACCGACTTGCAAATCACAAGACAGAGAAGTTTAAAAGTTTTACTTAACGCTTACGGGAATTTTCGTTAGATTTTGCATATAAAGCCTACAAGGGTGGTTTTCAAAGTCGAAGATGGGAAAGATCAAAAATACACTATGCCTCTAAAACATCAAAAAAGCTAGCAGCCTAAGAGTGGAACAAAGCTGAATAAAGTCTTGGTAAATTTGTAGCGAAATAATCAAGATGAAAGACCATACCAGGCTCACAAAACCTCAAAATTCTGTAAGGAAAGTTACAAAGACAAGTTTTCAGTACTAGCAATGCCAAATCAATACTTAAGCCAATGAAAAAAATAGGTTAGACATGCCTTGCTTTCGTGTGGCTCTAACACGACTGGTGTATATTTCCTCAGCAAGCTGTCTCCTTCTTTGTTTTTTATCACAGCAGCATTTTTCGGCTTCAAACGATATGGAAGTTCTTTTTGAAGATTGGCGGGAATTACCAATGGAGCTGGTTGAAAAGGCCTTCTTTCAACAGGCTAAAAACAGACAAAAAAGCTACACAAGTTCTATACAAAAAGCTTAATTCTATTACTTCACTAAATCTTGAGCAGATTACATGGTAAAGAGAATCCTTTTCAACAGGTGGTTTTAAGTTCCTTTCGAACCTCAACCTCCCAACTGTTCGCACTCCTTGCCAGTCTTCATCTTTTCCCATTAACTTATCAGTCACTGGAGCAAAGAAGCGTGGAATAGGAACAGTTATCTAAAAAAGTAATTTTTCTGCCTGAAACATTAAATAAGAGAACTGCGTTCAGATAGTTAAAGAAAATAAGTTTTTGACACAAAAATTTGCCATAATCTATATCTTCTATGCAGAGCAAAAGTAAATACTGCTGTTATAACGGGAAAGGTTTATGACAGATAATGCTACTCTCCTGTACCTCCATTTTTCTCAAGCCATTTAAAAAAGTGAACGATGGCTTTATACTAAAACTTCATGAAATCTTTGGTAATAACGCTTAAAAATATTTCCTTAGACAACACAGTAAATAAAAAGTTACTGCAGCATAAAAAAATTAAAAAACTATCAGCATTAAAAGCAAAAAAATAATTATGGATTCTGAAACGCGCAGTAAAAAAGCTCCAGCGATCGCTGAAATAGACATTTTGGCTTACTAACAAACGAACAAATAATAAACAAAGAGAAATTTTAAAAAATGTTACCCAAGATCTTAAAAACACTATATCTCTCAACAAAATTTTGTCTTCAAAAGTGGCTCTGAATGCACCAGGTGGCTCATGTTGGGCTTTCTTAATTTGACCGCGAATACCGCTGACAGTACGAATTGTGGCGCCTTCAAATTTTGCAACCTCCAGAGCTGTTCCAAACATTCCCTAAGCAAAAAAGCCAGTAACATTTACTCAGAATAAATAAATCCCTATAAATACAAAAGCAGTCGAAATCAGTTTCTGAATTTAAATTCGACGACCTAATAGTAAATTAATATGCTGAAGAAACCTTGATAAAAGCAGACTTCTTGAAAACCTCATACGGGTACCCAACAAGCTTCAACTTCTTTACTATATGGACAGACTTGTCAAGATTTAAAACAACTCCAGTTGCAGCAATACGAAACCCCTTCTGTAATAAAGAATATAAAAAATAAAGTAGCTCTTTGAAGCATTTTATAATCTCAAAAAACCTATTCAAAAAACTGATACCACGTCATCCGTAAGTGTCTGTACAGCGAGAATGCCTGTATTCTGAGAAATGATAGGACCACAAAACGTAGCAAAACAATGCATGTGTTCAGGAGTGTATTTTAAAAACCGTTGCCTCAGGTTACTTTCCTGTACAGAATAGATTACCTACAATGTTTTTCGTCGCGTAATTAAATTTATAAGATGATTGGCAAAGAATACAATCTGCTACAATATTTAGAATTAAACTATTTATACTAGGCAACTGAAAAATGAACCAAAGATTGAAAGCGCCTCCAACCGCAGGAAATAATCAGTGGGTCACGCGATTTTAAAATTCGCTCGTACCAACGATGTCTTTTTAGTCGCGCCTTGAAAGAAGTTTCTGGTGATAAGACTTACATAAAATTGAGTTATCAATTTTTAAGGTAAAGAGGTATGTGTTAATCAAGTACTAGTAGTTATATAGATGAAACAGCAGACAAATTTTTTGAAACTCTTTCTTGCCTTATTTAAAATACTAACAAACTCACTTGAACTACACCCATGTTTTGCTCGCCTGACAGAAGACCGCCAATAATGTATGGTTTAGAGGGATCAAAGTGATCAACAAACTCAACAGGAATATTTTCTAATTCTATTCGAACGTAAGTGCCGGGACGGAAACCTTCCAGACGCTGTCGCTGCTCAGTATCAAGGTTTTCAAATTCAGTTCTGTTCAACTAATAAAAAAAAACATTTATATATTTCATACTTAGATAATTTTAAAGAATATTCCAACCAAGAAAATGATTGTACAAAGGAAGCTAACACGTAATATCGCTTTACTTTAACATTTTGGCTGTATTCCTCGATAATAAAATTAGGATATCAAAGCTCACATTAGACTGAGACTCCAACTCTTCCTTCAACTTCAGATAATGTGCATTTGTTTCGTCATATTCAGCGTTAAAATCCCTCTTCAATTTAACCTTCGCTTCATACCGTTTCTTGTTTTTAATTTCCTCAATATCTTCAGAAGTTTTCTTATTTTGTTCTTCTCCACCTAAAAAATAAAGAAGTCGATATTATATCAATATGTTCTTTGCCCTGTTGTTGAAAGAAGTCTTGCCTTCTGGAACAGTTTTATATTTTTCTAATAATATTGATAATCACAAATGAGGTATAATCACAATGCACAATTAAAAGAAAAAGGTTACCACTACTCTCGTTCTCTGAAAAAGACTCTGAACCGTTGTCTTCGGTAACCTCACTTTCTTCTGCATTTTCCGAGGCCACCACGCCAGCTAAACAGTCCCACAACCATTAAAATTTAAAACAAATAAGATAAGACTGAAAACGCCTACTTTGCAATTCCGCATCAGTATTGTTATTCCACATTCCGGTGACGAATAAATCCGATATCAGATCACGAACCTGCATTCAAACTCAAAATCCATGAGAAATAATAAATACTTTAATCAATTTTACACTTACAGAGAACGTCAAATAAACTGGTACTTCCTTCACTTTTCAGTCAAAAAATATTGATAGCAAGGCGATAAACCAGGAAAGTTAATGCGAAATGAATGTCAATTTGAATGACTGCACAAGAAAAATTATCTTTTATTAGGTAATAACTATCAGCCTGCTGACCAACCTCAATTCTACCCCAATCTCGAGTGTTCAAAAACTCCTGCGTTGCACTCCTTCCTAAATGACTACTGTAACTAATAAAACCATCTTCCTGAAATAGTCTTTTCTAAATCAAAAAGCAAAAGGAATATTTTAAAGAGCTAGAGTGTAAAAGTTAAAACAATGAGAAATACTTTAAAAAACCTTATAAAAAAACATTAAAACACCACAGTTAAAAGAGAACTTTATGTTCAATAGGGACCACTGCCATATTGTGCGATATGATCTTGAAAAGACCACCAACTTCATCATTTCCACTGTCTCCCATGTCATCTTCTATATTAACACCTTAAAAAAGAGACTTTGAAAACAGTGTGTTCCAAACAGTTAATGGAAAACCCTTTTTTCAAAGTCAAGCCATAAGAATTATAAACCCAACCATAATTAATAAAATTTGTAAACAGATGTTCACCTTGATTCGAGTAAACTATCTTCTGCCAACTGATCCGTTTTCGTCCATGCGGTACATACATAGTAGAAGCTTTATCAGCCAGATGAGACCAAAGACTTGCTTTGTCTTCTGGCTTTCGCTCTTCAAACCAATTTTCATCGGAACTAACACCTTTTTCTTCCTCATCACCCCCCGACTCTTCCAAACTTTCATCAGGCCCTTAAAGTCATTAAGAAAAAAATAAATCTGATGTCTTTTTCCCACCCAATCCTTGAAGTATTTTACAAGCAAAAAACGGTTTTTTACCTGAAAAGCAACAAAATGAGCTATTTTCTAAAATTTACATGATACAGAATCGATCCATTCGCCAAAAATTCAAGGAAATTACCATACGAACTCGTTTCAGAGTAATCTTCCTCTTCAACCGTCAGATTTTCAGAGCCTTCAAGTGTCAGCTTAACACCAGTTTTTTTCATTTTGTCATCTATGCCTTCTCTAACTGAGTCAAGAGCTGAGACGAGCTCGTGCCGTGCACTTTTAAAAAGATGTGATCCTCCAGTTTCCACATAGATGGCATCCTATTGATAACGAAAACAATTTTCATAAAGAAAAAGAGTAAGGGATGTAAAAACAGAAAAACACATTACTGAGAACTAGTAGTAATTGAGAAGCATACAAATGAAAAAACTTCTTTCTGAAACTGAAATACCTGCAATAGGCTTTTCAGCAACACCGTATTAAAAGAAAATACTTGATAACAAACCTTGTCATACACAATCCCTCCTAAACCTGAAAAAGGAGCATACACAAGACGCTCTTTCTCGTTCAAACTTCTCTTGAGTTTTTCCTTAGACGGGAGGGAGCATGGGTCAGGAAGTGAGGTAACCTAAAAGAACTAGATGAATGAATATGACAATACCATTGTATTTTAAAAAAGAAGGAAGAAATACTAGATGCCAAAAATTAAGGCCTCAACAGAAGTCAATTAATGTAAAAGAGACGTTATAAGTAATACTTTTTTAAGAACTTTCTATACCAGAAACGAGAAGAGAAAAAAGAAAAAAATTTATGCATTCAACAACCCCTAAATCTGAAACTATTAAACTGCCTCAAAAGGGCAAGAGGAAAAGCCATATCAACAAAATTAGCAGAAGTGCAAAAGATATCAAAAGAGCAAAAAATACCTCTTTTATCCTCAAATCCCCAACTCCAGGAATGTGAACCATAGAATGGTTTAAAAGTGGTATTCCACGAACCCATCCATACAAAGAAATACACCGATCTGTCAAGGGATCCGTTCTTATCACCTATAAATCAACAAACACTATAAAATATCGCAAAAAATTCCAAGGCTGTTCCTATACAAAAACAAAAATTTTTATGAAGCTTCAAAACCTCCGCATCTGTCAAATCTTCGAATCTGTCACAATACACGTAAGGATGAGTAGTGCGCCAAATCAATGGTCGAAACTTCATAACCGAGATAAACCTTGCTAAATTATGAATTTCATTTCTTGGATACCTTTCGTTATTCACACCAGACAAATAAAACAGCTTTGCTCCCTAAAAATTTACAACTTTTCACTAGCTAGAGCTTAGCTTCTAAAAGTCACTGTCGTTCTTAGTTTCACTACTTCATATACTAAAAATGTCACTGTGAGAACCAATTTTACTGGCATTTTTATAGCTTCTGCTATGAGTAAAGAAGGTGCAGTTTGAAAAACTTAGAATTACGAGGTCGGTGGTGAGAGCATAATAATCTTAAAAACAAAACCTGGTACACTTCAGTCCAAAACCTATGTTTCAGTAACTTCTTTGCTTGCTTCACTCTCTCCTTTTTCTTGATTACATCAAGGTGACTCAGGACACCCATTATTCTAGGCATCCCATGAATCTGGCATATATGTAAGAATTCAAAAGTTTCCATCTCAAAACCAAACGAAGCATCAACCATTAAAAGAACCTAAATAAATAATCTGTGTTAGATAAGAAACCGGCTGTAAAACTAAAACATCCTAGCAATAAGTCTAACTCCATTAAAAAATGAAAATATTCAGGAAAAAAATTTAAAAATAAAAAAAAAAAAA